ACTGAGTCAAGCCACAGCCTCCATGCAAAACTGACACTAAGTATTTTACTCTTTACAAATAGTCTTTATAATTGGGATTTTTAAATAATCCTTCTTAAAAGGGATTGCAGCTGTAATCAATTTGTGGAGGGCTGTTTTAATAAGAAGCTGCTCGAATAGGATTAACTATGAGACCCTAGACCTCTTTCCTCCAGTCCTTAAACTCCTATTTGAAACATTTAGATACCCCATAAATTATTTATTGGTCTTACAAGGTGTCATCAAGCTAAGAAAATGATGCTTGACAAGTTGAAAACCGTAACCATTTCCACCAATTTGTTAACAGCCTCTCCCACATGGCATGTAATGTCTCACTTCTGCCTTGTCTTACAGGAACAGTAGTTACATTCACCCATTGCACCAAAAGCACATGTGGAGAGCTGTCAGACCTTGTGCATTCTGTTTATTTCAAGAAATGTTCCAGAAAATAATTTATAGATAGCTTGAAAATAGAATGTCAAAGTGGATTTCCTTTTTCCTGTAAGGTTCTTAAACAACAAGGGAACAGAAGAAATCAGGGTTTTTCACTCCCTCTGTCTACCCAAAAAAACCCCTCTTTGATTTCTGAACTCCACAGGCCAACACATATATAGACATGCTATAGAAAGGAATATAGGGAGAATCTGATGGTCTTGGCCAAGAAAAGAGGAATCACCCCTTCACATGTCTCAACAGCTCTATCTGCCATCTAAGGTTGGACAAAAGGCTACTGGAATTTTTTGGGTTTTTTTATTTTTGCAGGGCTTCTCCAGCAACACTGGTTAATGATGACTGGTAAAATAACAGTGAGACAGGGACATGTCTTTTCTGCATGGGATCTGGCTTAAGGATTGTTTCAAGCATGAGGCAATCTGCATTTAGCAAATATAATCTTAAATCTGTCTTTATAATTCCAATTATCTGAGAAGGATAGAAACTCACTGCACCTGAAAATAGGTTTCTGCTCATCACTGCTTCTTGTGGGAATGTAATACAGGGTTTCATGCTTGCTTTCCTCTGTAGGGTCTTAACACACTGGCTCCCATGCTGGCAATGTTCACTCATTAGAGCAGTTTTGTGGGGATCCTAGGCCATAAGCACGTTGTTTAAATAGTGTGTTAGCTTGTTTTGCTTGTTTTTATTTATTTAGGTATTTATTTTTTACAGCCAGCATGAGATTATAGATTTGATCCATGGTGCAACCAATCTTTGCACCATGAAGCCATCTGTGTCAGTGTCTCACATAAAGCAATTAAAAAACTGGTTAAACAAAGACTTCAAAGTGAGAAGCTTTAATTTATTGCATGCTGTTTATTTACTGTATTATTCTACTAATACCTGATCAGTCAGCCTTCCACAGCAATCATAAAACTGTCCAAGGGACCAAGGCTCACGGGGGAGTGACCTGTAGTTTTGCAAGTGTACAGTTTCCACAGACAGAATATCTGAAACTAAATCCACTTAAAAGCACAGAACGGGGGAAACTACAGATGCACACAAGTAAGGTTTTGTCTGATCTACTTCCTGATATAATTTCGAGTTCACTGAACTTCTTTGATGTTTGGTCATTTTAAGAGACAGTGACTGCTGAAAGCTTCTCTTCCGCTCAGTCGTGGTGCACGGACACAAAGGACAGCAACAGCTACCACTTATTATTACTTATGGAAAACCATGTACATCTGATTATATCAGATGTTTAAACATTGGGACTGGGTGTGGTCATTTAATAGAAAATCCTTCTGTGTCTTAAAAAGGGAGAAAACAATATGAAGTGAAAAAAAATAAGAAAAAAATATTTTTACTTTCAAAAATATTTAATCTGTTTGTTTCTGATTCCTTATAGACACCATGAGATTATGGTTTGATCCTTTGTGCAACCCATCTGTTTAGTATGAGGCAGTGTTAGTGTATCACATAAAGCAATTAGAGAAACTGGTTAAACAAAGACTTCAAAATGTGAAGTGTCTGGCAGTCCTGGCTAAAATATTTAAAATACAATACAGTGTCTTTTCCACAAACTGCTCTATGAAATAGATAATTCCCAGCAGACTGGAAACATTAGCAGAGACGTCACTGAAAACACAAGTTGATTTAATGCAAGAAAGTTGCTGCTGCCTTCCATCTGATTTTTAGATGCTTGTATATGATTTTTAAGCCATTTCAACACTTTAAAAACGTGTACTTCCACTTCACATTTACAAACTTGGGAATGACTACCTCAGATATTGGGTGAATGCAAATAGTGTTTTCCCATTTTCCCCTGAAAATCTTGGCTTTGACTGCTAAAGCACACAATCAACCATAAAGTTACTGTAAATCACAAAAGGAAAGCACAACTTTTAGAAGCTGCTGTTTACAGGTGTGAAACATTTTATAAGAAATGCCTGAATATGGAGAAATATTTTCCTTGTTCAAGATAATTTGTAGAGCTTTTATGATTGTACAGCCCTGCTCGTTCATGAACAAAGATATTTGTAGTATTAGGCAGACACACAGAAGCAAATGAGTTTAAAAGACACAGAAAGCCATATAATTTAGGAAGGGGAAAAAGGAGAAATTCTTGAGCTGCTAATAGAAAAGAAGCACACTGGCTTAGAAACCCCTTTTTGTTTATAATTTCATAAACGGAGTCAGTAGCCTGAGACAAGCCTGTCACATCTTTGGCACTGAACAAGGGTCAGTGATGGATAACTGACCTCCTTTCTCACTTTTATCAACAAATGTCAAAAAAGGCAAACAACAGCAATGACATCCTGCCCAAACAGCCAAGAGTGTTTCATTTTCTTTGCACTTCTGTTTCCTCTGTGCCTTTAATCAGGGCTGGGGGATGTAATTGCTGTGTCTGGGCACAGCTTAAGGCATGCTGTGCAACTAACAATTAGTTTAGAGACTGAGATCTATAAATTTTGAGAAAAGAGTAAGAGGATTTGGTGTGCTTGAGCTATCCTTTCTAATGAAGAAAAATATCACACCGGAAGGGACCCAGAGTGTTATCAAAGCAACTTAATATCATCTGGTAGTGATTTGTAGGCCCTCATAATCTATTGTGATCATGTTGAAGGGGGAGGAAAAGGTCCACGTGTTCCACTATTTATGAGATTTCCCAAACGATGGCCGCCATCTGTGCAAACGCCACTAATCTCAGCCACCGTCCTCGTGGCAAACGGCTCCATGGGACTGTCCCAGGGAAGGGAAACACTGCAGGAATGTTGGGCTATTTATTGTTTATAAAAATAAACCGAGTGGACTAAGACATATGCGAGGAATTTATATCAAGCAGCTGCAAAAGCAAGTTGCCTCAATAGGAAGGGTGCATCGATGATGCAATCAGACCACACCGAAAGATTTTCCTATTAATCTTAGAATATACATGGCATGCTTGAGATACTGATTTGTCCCCATCTGCACCCAAACTCACCTTAGATGGATATTCTTAAAGCAATTTCAGAAAACAGTTTATGTAGACAGAAACTGTTTTATTATGTAAGTTTATGAACTAAATAAATATAAACAAAGTCTAAGGACAGTCTGTCCCCATTGAATCTTACCTCTCTCAAACGTTCCCTCATTACTCTCTCAGCTAAACAAGCACAATGCAGATACTAACACTCAGTGTTAGTGGACCATGCACACCACGTTCCTAAGATTTGGAAATTCCTTGTTTTGTGGTTAACAATCTAATCCCACTAAAGTCCTTTCCTATTTCTTAATGAAGAAGAGCAAATCTATCACAACGAGGAACAACATTCAGCGAGAACAGAGTCAAGGAGTAACTAGATAACACCAAGATGACAATCGGTGTCACAGCAAACACACAAAGTACAATATTTTACTGTTGAGCCTGCATGACAGCATCAGACAAAGGGGAAAAGAGAGCTGGTCAGAGACAAGCTTCTCGCCTTTGTAAAGCTGGTTTACCAGACATACTTGACACCGGACAGACTCTTACTTTTTTAACTGTTAATGGGTTAGTATATGTACAGCAGCCTCTGGGAAATTCTAGCTCTACATGCTTGAAAACAGCTATCTTCGCTTTTCATTAAAACTGCATGCACTTTGAAACACCTGCCTTCAGGAAAACTCCCAAGCTGATTGACTCAAACATGAGAATTAATTCAGGCTGCTTTAGTGTGTGGACAAGGCTACACAGAACAGTGTGTCAGAATTAGGCTTTTCCATAATACAAACTGGCAAGGATTGCTCTTTTGGGAATCCTGCTCGGCTGGAATTCAAGCACTTTGTTTGACAACTGATTTTCAAGGTGTGTGTCCTTCTCTTTTAAACAAACACATGATGCTTGAAAACCAAGGTAAAACAGTGCATATGTACATATATGTGAATGAGAAAAGGACAGTTCCTAAGAAATCATTTGCTATAATTTGTGAGTGTTACTTACCCATCCTAATGTCAGAACTTTCCAGTTACAAGGAAGGAAAAATGATTTGTTTAATAAATCTGTTTCAAAAGAGTGATCATAAATGCCACTAGTAGATATACCAATTGTGCTTTCTGACTTCTGTGAGACTCCAGAATTTTTGGTCTTTCTTTTCTGGGGGGGAAATCATCTCTGAACAGTCATAAGATATTTTAGCTCACTGTTAATATATGAGGTAGCCACTTGAGCTGGATGCTTTTTATAAAAAAATCCACCCCCAAACCCCATCCTTCACCCCAAAACAAAAGGTTTTAACCATTCAAAGAATAGTTTCTGTGCTACAGGCACACTGAGCATTGGTCACACTGTGTCAATGAATGATTTTGCTGAAGCCCAGGCCCCAGCACTGGCACTGGATAAGGTCCCAGTTTTCCTGAAGTTATAGCTGATCTATAAAACAGCATAAAGGCTGTTTGAAGTCATTAGTGAATCTGACAATAAACCCGCACTTTTACAGGCAAGAGACAGTTGAGAAACAAATTCAAAGATATCTGTTGTCTTAATAATCACTGAAATGCAATCTTAGTGTTGCTCAAGGTGTAATTACCTGACGTTTTTCTCTGACAGTAAGGCATAGAAGTTCTTGTATTTCCTTTAAATGCTGACTGTTCATTTCTGTTCCTGTGCTGCAGTTAATCTTCTTCTGTGCTGAAATCTACAGAAGTGGCCTCACAAAAACCTGTAGGAGCAGAGTAAAGTCAGGGAACCTTCACAGTTGCCTCCACCTCTAAAGAAAATAGATACTGTATCAGCAACAGGCTTCATTTCTGATCAGATTCTAAACTGATTTTATTTAGAGTACATGTAAAGTCCTAAAGGAAAATTCCTGTTTCAAAGAATGTTAAGTCTATCTTGTCCATTAATGTAGCCTGAAAAATTAAGCTGGGAACATTTAAAGATGCCTCTCTTGGAACTGGACTGAGACATTTCACATGAGCACGTGAAATGATCAGTATTAAAACAATGTGCCTGGTAGAATTTCTTTCTCTCAATGATTGTCTCCCTCCTTGCCAGTATGTGGCAATTTGAATACAGAGATATAATTGTAGGTTTATTACTGATCACATAATTGTTCCTAGCACATGCAGGATTGACATGCATGGACACTCAAATACAGCATTTCAAACAAAGATCAGTGTGCATAAGAGAACCCATGTTCAGCCTGCAGGTAGGTGCTCTTATGCACCAGCCCATGGTCCAACACTGCAGAAACAGCTCCAGAATCCTTCCCCTGTATCTGCTGGCCATGGAAGTAACCAACAGGATGAGTGGGAGCCCATCTCAGCTCAGTTTCCCAGAAGGAAGTCTCCTGTGTTGGGATACTGCATCCATCTACTGCTGCAATTTGTTTCGTTCTGAGTTGTACTACAGGAACTGTTTATGAAACCATACTATGAAGTTTGTTGTAAAATAATCCGGGTTCAAAAGCTTTTGTGAAATGCTGGTGGCAGACATGAAGTTGGCAACAGTCTCCTAAATCAGTTGTGCTATATTAGACATAGAGGAACTTTATCTAAGGTTATCTTTTCCCCACCAGCTTTTGTGTATCTTATGTCACTAAATTGACAAACATACCACAGAAGCTGACAGGAAAAGAGTTGCAGAACTTGAGCCTTACCAGTGAACACTCTTTCCAAAAGGAAACCTCGCACTGGCATTGGCTTGTAAAAATATATGCAGATGACCCAGGTAAACCTAAGTCCCTAGTTTTCAAACATAGAGACAAAAATAAATTGTGTCCTTGTGTAAATGCATGCCAGGAAAGTACAGTCATGAGGATTGAAATGATGCCCAGTTTTTGCTCCCACTCTCTCAAGCACAAAACAATCAGAAAATAAAATCCACTGGCTGATTGCTTTTGAGGTTTCATTTAAAACATCTTTATAACTACAGTGTACTTCCTACTCCTACTTACTCCTGCATCATCAGTCATGCACAGCATCGTAAAATACCATGTTTGTCACTCTTCTGAAATGCAAAGGTATATGCAACCTGAAATATGTTGTTACAGTATGAGTGATTCATACTATGATGAAGTCTTACTATGATGGGAGGACAACAGGCCATTCAGAGTATGCCAGTAACTAATTTTTTTCACAAGTTATTTATCAGTCTTTCAACACATAAGCCCATTTTTCCTATTAAAACACACAGAACTAACACCCAGGAGCTAGCAAAAATGGTGGCATTTTGCTTCTGTTCACAAAATGTGGGCTAAAGTACTGGTGACCTAGAAATAGAAAGAGCTTTTTACTGTATAAAGTAAGCATAAAAGGTTTCAGACTGCAAGATGCACAATGGCTTCATCACAAAATGAGTAGAAACATTTCATTTCTGCAGAGCCTGGTCGTTATTTGTGAGCTGTGTAACACAAGAAGCCCAACACAGAATTTCCCTCTAATTAGCAACTACGTATGCCCAAGTCAATTGACAAATATGACTTAGAAAGCCTTAAAGACATAATATTTGCAGTGAAATCATTCCCCCTATTTTAAACAGAAGATTAGGGTAAGAGACACAGGTTCACAATGAGGATCTCACCTTTTATTTCTCTGCCTGGACACACTGTTTGAGAAGCAATCTGTCCTGTAAGACAAGAAGAAAATATCTTTGCTGTTCTTATGCTGACAATTTATTTTTGCGGTCCTAGAGATCCTCCTTTTTCATTGGGTATTAAATAAAGCACTTGCTGAGGAAGGTGAAGGTTCTATTCAGGTTCTTAGAGGTTGAATAAAAATTGCAGTTTAAGCAGGGCAAAGCAGAGCTTGAAGTTTACCTTGCTGAGGTTTTGTGGAGTAGAAAGGATCATGTAGTATTGAGCTTACAATAAACAAGACCTGGAAAAGGACTCTGCATGACATTAGGAGGCAGAACATAAGCTGATTTTTCATATCAGGCAGTAAAATAAAAAAAAAAAATAGCAGATTAGCCTAATGAAGTGTCTTTTTGTTCATATTTTCCTATTCTTAAAAAATAAAACTATTTTTCGGGTTTCAGAAAAGAAGGAAAAAAAATTAAAGTAAGGAATGTTCTCAGAATTCTTGAAACAAGTCATTCTTCATATTACTACTTTTTATGGGAGTGACTGTCAATCATCAATCTTCAAAACTGTCATAAACACCCACACATGCTATTTCAAAGATACCTAATGTAGGATATATAATACCATATTTCAAGCTGGATTCAAAGCTTTTCATCTATCTAATAGTTAGGAACAAGGAAAAACACAAACATCAAATGAAATGAAATGTATTTGTTGATGCTAACTGCAAATATTAATTTTATAAAAATTAAGTCTATTACACATCCATTTAAAAATAATTTTTCATGTCTGAATGATGATAGGGATCCTGAAATGACTGCATCCATAGAGAATCACAGATCCAAGCAGCTGATCTGCCAGACAGGACCAATATTAAAGTGCATGCCATGGCTTACAAATTTCCTCATTTCTTAAAGAAATCAATAATCTTTCACAGATTTCATCCCATTGTGACCTGATCTTAGATACTCATCAAGAATTTATAATGCATAGAAGCAGGGAGGGGAAATTCCACAAACTCCTATTTGTGGAAAGCACTCCCCCTCCTCCAAAACAATAGAAATATTCATCACAGCTTCTAGACCTTTCCAGATTCTGTTAGCTAGGTATATTAAAGACAGAAAAGATGCATGACAGATTTTTACCCTGTTTTCAAATTATTAGGAAAAATAATCACAACAGTGTGTTTGGAGGTGCACAAGGAAATAAATTACAGCTTGTTCATGCATGTAAACTGGTCTACACAATCCCAGGAGGATTGCCTGGAAAGAACTGCAAAGGAATATGGACAGAATGGAGTAAGGAGAAATTATTAGGACAGAAAACTTTTAAGTGCTTTGCTCTTTGATAATCTTTGATGTTTAGAGGATCAGATATTGTTTCATACAATCTAGAAACTTTACACATTAATGCACTGATGTGTTGTTGACAACCAAATGGACCACAGCTATCCATGCAGATTCATCAAACAGCCCAAGGACATGGCCACAGGGCACTGAAAGTGTTCAGAGCTTCCCTAGAGGCACTAGTGATCCCTCATTGTGCTTTGTTCCAGCAGGCCAAAGACCTCACAGGATACAACCAAACACCAGCCTGAGATAAGCAGTGGATGCTAATTAAAAGGAAACACAGATTCAAACAAATTTTGACCAACATTCTCTTTTTGTCACATCCCTTAGGTGGAAAAAGTTCAGCAATGGCTGGGGAGCACAGGACTTGCCAGAAAAAAATGTGGGAGGAACAACTGGACTTGCCTCCCTGTGGCTGGGGCAGGTTGTAGGGCCACATGGGCACCAAGTGCATCTCCCTGCATGGGTCCTCCCTCTGAGCTGGCACATTAATGGAACTTCAGGCCCACTAAAAAATGCTGGATATATTTCTCAATCTCAACTCCAGCTTTCAAATGAGTGCATTATTTATTCATTAGTACTACATTCAAAGTGCTGTTTCCCTTGTTACTTGGTGAAATAAATGAAAGAATAGTGATATCACTCTAAATCCCAATTTACAGTACTTGCAAGCCCCAGATGACTGCATCATAAAATTCTCCTTTCCCTCCCCCTCTCCACTCCTTTCTGCCTTGCATCTGACTGAAAGAAGAAGTGCGCACTGCAAGGAGCTGAAGGCTGACCTGGTGGCCTGACCTAAGCAGAGGAAGATATAACAATGATCAATAGATTCCAAATGGGAGTAAGAACAGTCCTAGACTCAGCATTTGGATCAGAGGATTGGGCTCTACATGTAAGGTGCACCTGCAGATACATTTTTCCTCTGGAGAAAGACTGAAGAGAGAAAGTAGGGCAGACTGAACCATACAGACACAGTGCACATATGTGGAGAATATTTTCAATTCCTTGCTTGCTTACTTGTCTTATGAAAAATAAAATATTTATCTACAAAAATAACGTAGAGTTGATAAATAACTAAATCATGATCTTGATTTTTTCTTTGGGACACACACCAAAATATCTCTGGTTCTCATGTACAACTGAGCTCCCCATAACTGTGATACAATTATGATTCAGCTTTCATTAAGTTACCTCTGGCCAAACTTGCAAGCTTGCCAACTTGCTGTGAGAAATAGAGAAAAATACAGGGAGATTAAATAGTGGGAGGTTTTCAAATCCAATAGGTTTAGAACAAGTTCAAATTTTATGTTCAGCTACTGGCCTTTTATATAGGAGAATTCTAGATTTGGCTATCCAAAAATTCAGTTTACACTGGCTTTGGGGTCCTGATCCCTGCTACTTTTGACACATCATTCTTGTAAGGAGAATCTTAAACCCAAATGCTTAATATAGCAGACTAATAAAATTTCAAAAGTTTTTTAAAGATCAATTATTTAAAAAACGATAAATTTTAAACTCCATCTGGTGATTCTCCGTGTCCTGTCTGCTGCACACTTGAGACACAGCAAGGTGGAGTTATGGGGGTGTAATTTTTCAAAGGTGTTTAGCACCCACTTCTGACAAATTTCCATAGTCACTTTAACTCCAAAGACCCTATGTGTCACGGGAGAACAATACTTAAAAGCAACATTATCTATCACCTCTCACCTTTCAGTTTCCTTGGAGCTGCTGCTGACTATTAAGACATTTGAGTTACTTTAGTACCAGGAAATTTAAATTCTTATCTCCCCAAATATTCAAGCTCCCAGGAAATAGCAGATGCTTGGCCCACACAGATGTGTATGTGTGTAAGGCTATGGGAAAGGGGGAGTGAAGATATGTGTAAGGGTGTGACAGACTAGGAGATGGCTCCTGCCCTTCACTGAACTGTCAAAACACTAACTCAAAACAAGCTAAAGTAGAAAGAATTAAATTAAACCAAGGTCAAAATGTAACCATTCCTAAAACAGATTTAGGCAGCAAACCCCAAACTGCTTGAGGACACAAAAACTGGTATTTTATCTTGAAATCTAACATGCACTATCTGGAAACAGCATTGTTTCAATTATGAAACAATTCACATCTCAGCTGACACACGTAATGAAGCTTGCTACTTGCCTAGTACATCATTTAAGGCAAAAGAAAAAAGGGTATGTTTTATCATGGTCTTTCATATCTTTGTCTATTGTTCTGCAATCCATTTGCATACCTAAAGGGAAATGGCCTTTTTAATTTCTTTCCCCTCTCCTAATCATCTGAGGCCTATTTAGAAGTGTTCTGTATCCTGTAATCAGGCAATTTATACAGTGTGCACCCTTAGGCTACAGCCATTACAAACAAGCTGAAAAACTCCTTTACAATAAATGATTTAGCATGGGAAGACACCATTCATAATTAATTTTTTTCTGTTTGCATTGGCAGATGGTCTCAGACATTGAAACATGGCCTGTTGCCCACACCTTTATTCCAGAGAGAAAAGGGTAGCCTTAGAAAAAAAAGAGAAATGCCTGTAAGACTGCTTCATTTTGGGAATAAACATGTTCCACAGCTTTTCATGAATTTGTGCATGCTAAAGACTGAATTCAAAAATTGTGGAAGTCAAAGGAGAATAAATCCCATTAGCTTCTGACCAGGACCTGAATTAAAATCACAAGGAAAATATTAACTTGAAGGACGGTGTGACTTTTTTCTGTTATTTTCCATAAGGGTTATTTCTGAAGCAGCTTTAACAGACATATTGCGAAGGTGGACTTGAAAATGATCAGCTTTGGATTTCTGAAAGCTGGGTACTCACTGAGACAGCAAATAAAAGAGTTCTGCTACTAGCCACATTTTAAAACATGCATTTTCCTGCTTGCACAGAAGGACAGCTGGTGGCAACTTCATTCTCCATTTACTTATGTATTTGCTCACTGTTTACACGTTGCTTTTCAGTACTTTAAAACAACTTCTGGTGCACTCCTGAGTTGTTGGCATCACTGCAAACTCCCCCAGACTGAGATCCAGCCAAGCTGACTGTCATTTTAATGGCCCGTGCCAGTATTTTGTTGATGGTGATAAAATAGTCCAAACTACTACACAGCAAATTCCTAATCTAAGAGAAAATTTCTGTGTCATGACTCAGAGTACTCTGACCCTTCCTTTTGATCTGGAAGAAAAGAGCAAGCTGGGTTTCTATATGTGATCTCTAGAATGTGATCTAATCAAGTCTCCCTGAAGCCTGCAATGTGTTGAGTGCTGGTACTGAAAAAGCCCCTGATTGCCCATTCAGGATGGTTTGTTTGGATTTACACACACACAAATGCAAATTCCCTGGATGAGCTCCAGGCATGGCACAGGGGTTACAAGATGTTACCTGGAAATGCAGTTAGCTTTAGCTGCACCTCATATTTGTGGTATCTAGTCATACCTTTACTTGCCAGGAAGACACATTTACCATAAGCTCCTAGGGCCAGCAGCAGGTAACCGGGTGAGCTGGATGCTTTCCAAGAGGTGACACGATGTGCTTTAGGCAGCAGCCCTGCACAGAGGAGTTATACGGCCACAGACCTCCCACCGGCCTCCATAGGCCTTACCAAGTTCCTGCTGGCTTCAGGTCCTCTGAAAATGCAAGAAACAACTGATTCTAACACCTACAGGCATTGTGTGCTATGTCACAGTTTCCAAAGGAAAAAGAAAATAGGAGCATTCCATCTCCAAACACTTTCCTGCCCTCTGAATGTGATCCTCAGCACTGCCTGAGCTCTGTGGGCAGAGCCAGGCCCGGGGCCAGGCCCGGGGATATCCGGCTGGGGGAATGGAAGTGATACACCCTTCCACTGTGCTAAATCTTACTGACTTCTGCTTTAACAGGGCTTTGGGGATCACCAGAGCTGCTCAATGTTGCTTTGGTCTTCTCTTTTTCCCATTGTGCCAAAGCCTACTTGCCTGATAGATGTGTTGAAATGCCAACAGGAAAGCTGTTTTCTCTCTAATTTCAACCTGGCTCAAACCATCAGTTTTACCACCACACCACAAGGATTTGTGAAAGTCAAAGAGTTTTATCTGATTTAGAAAAAATAAAACCTTGGAGTTTTCAAGTTTTGTCATTTATCACGTGTCCTATCAGTCCCATGTCAGATGAGAACTGAGGAAAAAGCTCTCTGAAAGAGCTCCAATTCTGAAGAAATAATAAAGTGTTGTTAAAATGGCATTGTTCTCTCTGCAATGCAGAACCATCTGGATACTAGCAGAGAATTAGGAGACTCTGGATATGCCACTGGCCTAGGGAAAAATACTTTCATAAAACCAATCTGCTTCCTTCAGATGAATACATCACTCTCACTGTTTCTGCCTCTCTGTGAAATTTCAGCAATACCTGTATTCATAATAATTGACTACTACTGATCTTCAGAATGAAAATACGCTTATTTTATTAATTGGACCAAATCTTAAGGCCATTAAAAGGTTTTTTTCTCAGCCCTTCATTATGTATTCAATAGAGATGGTAGCCAGGGTGGTTTTTTTCCCTTTCCTTTCAGCCACAGAATAGGAGCTCTCTCTTCTCCCTCTTTCCCTTACTGATAGACACTTAAAATTCAAATTACAATTATACTAGACCATAAAAATATACAGGTAAGGCAGATGTGAGCAAGCTACTTGACAGAACCTCTTTATTTGTTTGGATGACTTAATAAACTGCAGAAGCTGAGGTCATCAAAACCTCTCAATCATCTTGCAGTCTAGTGCCAACAGCTGTAACAAAAACTGGTGATGTAAAACATGTTAAACATGCCAAACCCAAGTTTCAGACAAGCCAGTCTGTAATAGGACTATTTTCTACTTGAACATTACATGGCAGTGTGCTCAGATTTATTTATGCTGTTCTTAATAGGAATAACCAGAAACCCTGTTTCAAGGCTGAATGCAAAGTCTGTTTTGTCATGAAACAGCTTGAGATCTATGATGCTTTCTGCTCCAGTTAGGCAACACACAGGTATTAAAATTGGATTTTAGAAACTGGTTTCATCATTTGTAGGCAAAACAAAATAAATAAATTCTTATTAAAGAATACTAATTGTTGCAAGATTGGGATGAGAAAGAAAAAATATATTTATTGCCTTTACCATTTTCTGCCTCTTCCTTTACAACTCTATTTCAGTTAGTCAAGAATTCCATAAAAAAAGCATGAATTGTACAAAGAAAAACAAAAAGATCAAAATTGATTGATAAAATAGAGAGGTCTTAGGCAGGATTTCAGATTGTGAAAAGCAATCTTCAGGCAGAACATGTACAAATTGCAATATAGGTGAACTACATTGAAGAACATTAGGGAAAGGAAGTAAATAGAAAAGAGAGTAGAGGCAACTCTCCATGGTTTTCCTGGGACACCACTGTGGCAAGCCGAAGGGTCAGATTCCAACATCTAGCGCACAGCACGTACTGCCACACAAGTCTAAAAAATTCTGCTGACACTCGTAAATTGCCACATGTTTGGATTTCCAACAAGATCTCACAACAGGCTGTGTTACTGCAAGTCATTATTTCCTTTGGGGGAAAAAATGTCTCTAGTGATGTTAAAAGTCGTGGCAGGATGTACTATAGTGTCAGGAGAGCTCACCAGGGAGCATTCCTGCCTCAAGGCCAGGAGGTTGGATATAAATTCTGCACCTGGTATGGGGCTGGGGGGAATGGACTAAAGTTTATCTCAAAACTGTAGAGAGGCAGTGGTTGTGGACAATGCCCCACTGGCAAAATCCTGGGAGTAAAGGCAAGCAGAAGCAGTGCAAGATTCCCATGGCTCACACATTTCCGAACTCTCCTGTATGGAATGTGTGTCTGAAAGATGCTTATGCAGCACTTGCCTTTTCAAAGGTACACACTAAGCTGTAATGAGCTTTAGAGATTTTTCTGAGAGACCCATGTTAATTAGCTGGTCTGCATTCCCCAAAATCGGAGACTGCAGAACTGCGTCTAATATTTTCCCATAAATACAGGGTTTGTATTCGTTGGGTTTTTCTGGAATATGGAATCAGGGAAAAATGATGAGAAAGACTGAGTCAATGTGCTGATTTTTTTGTCCAAAGTGATTCAAAAGATGCTTTATATTTTAAGATGTTAATATAGAAAATATGATTCTTCCTATATGCAGGAAAAAAACCAATAGAGGATATTAATCTGGATTGGTTTAAAACTAAATATTAGCTGCCTACACAAAGCTAGTATCTTGCCTGTTTGTCTCTGACATTGGCTTAAAAACACATGGATTTGAGAAACATTTTTGGTTTTCACATCCTGTTAATGTTGTTGACCTAAGGTTTGCAGGCAGCATACAAAGCTGTTACTGTATTCTTCCAAATTTGAACACAGAGAAAAGGGGAAAAGTTTGAGTACCAACTTATCAGTACCTATGATAGGCAAGACAAAGCTGAGTTTCTTATGTGAAATGTTTTTCTGAGTTTCTTAATAGAGTAGAAATTAAACATCACACTATCCTGAAGTGACTTTTGTCTCCATAACTCTGCTGAGAGGCAGTAAAGTGCAGTGCCAAGGTGGGAAGCTCACAGTCACTGAAGTTTCCTGCCATGGACACACAGGCTGACCCAGGACTAAACCCAAGCAGGTCTGAGTCCCAGCCCTGTAGTCCAAATTCTGCCAACCCACACGAGGCCTGTGCTCCCAGCTGTGGGTGAGGACTGGCTCAATGACAGGCAGCAGCCACTGTGAACAGGTTTTGCACAACCACTGCAACAGCCAGTAGCAGATTGTGCACCAAGATCATGGAAAAAGAGTTAAAAAGCCCCCAAATTGCACAGAGCTTCTCAATGTCCATACCTGATCCATCACAAACCAAACAATGAATATTGTCTTCCATCATCCCCAACACAACTTTATTATTAACTATATTATTGTTTATAAGACTTTTTAAAGTCTGACTTCTGACTTTAAGTGGAAGTAGAAGAAATACTATGAAAGCAGTACCATGATCCTCTAGATATATTTTAATTTCAACATTACTGCTTATTTGTCACATGATATTGTTGAAGTTTATAAAAGAAGTCACAAAACCCATTAAAAAGCAACAATAGTCATTAATGAAGAAACTAGAGAAATTTAAATTAATACTTTTTAATGAATCATATGTTACCTTCTCATAAAATATCACAATTGACATATATTTATGCATAATATGTACAATGCAAAAGTGAGTTAAACAAAGATTTGTACTGAAAATGAAGGCTTGACTTAATTTCTTAAATTCTTAATTGTACAACCCTGTAATGGGACATAATTTATCAGGACTGTCTCAGCACAAAAAAACTAAAATTATATACTTTTAGCTAATAAAACCAGTTTGCCCTAAACAGGCTTTCAGAGGTTTGACCTTTAACTACATTGAAAGTAATCCAAAGTATTCTGAATTTATTGGACTTTGGAAGAGCAGTTAAGAGGTCCTGATTTAGAAAAGCCCATTTTAATCTTAATTTGAACCATGATACATATTTAAACTTTAGTCAGGCAAGAGTACAATGGAGTTGAAAATAGGAGGATTTTGGACTCTTAGTGGTGTGGCCTGATGCACCATGGTTACTCTCATTTAGTGGTATTTCACACATAGTTCTTTAGAAGATGGAAATGATGAGAAGAAAAGACAAAGGACACAGTCTAACATTTAATGAAGTAACCTTATGAAAGTCTTGAAGAACATTTTGGAAAATAAATATGCACTCTTTTTGTTTTCATAAAAGTGAGAATGTGCTTTGCAATGGGGGAATTTTCTTAAAAGAGTACAGGAGGACATGGCATATTGATTATATTGTGAAATAATCTGCCACATACACAAATACCTCAGTTTTTATGAAGTCCATAAAATATTGATGGCAAAAGTTTTGGCTTCAGCTATGCAGATGTAGATGACAATACTTGTAAAAAGGAATTAAATAATATTATTATAACAGTCTTATGTTCATAGGAACTAGTGACATGACTATACCATTGTTTGAATGGAAAGTAATATAATTTATTAAGTTTGCTTGGTTTTTTTATCTTCAATTTCTCAATTGAAAGAAAACATGGAAAGAAAACATGCTTTTTAACAATAGTACTTGCACAAAACCACACACAGCTTACACACAAGTATATATGAAAGAAATATTATTTTTCAAAATGTACCAGATTAAAGTCCTAGATCTCAGTCCTCCAGAAACTTACAACCTTAATTACCTTATGTTCATGAATATGTCACTTAGTCAATGAAAGTAGTTATATCTTTTTTAAAAAAGCAGATACATAGGAGTAAGTAAGGACTTACTAAAATCATTGGGGAACTCCAAACCCAGTAGCACGTCTAATTTACCTAATAGAAGTCAAAATACAGTGAGTCAACCCCCTGCTCAGTATAAAACAGCACACCTTACTGATGTGAATGGAGCTATGCTGACTTACACCTACTGACACAGCAGCCCAAGAGATGCAGAGGGAAATTCTGATCCTTGACACATTCTAGCAACTTCCATCATTCCAGCTATGAAACATTGTCATACTGTAATTTCTGAAAATTTAACCATTTGGAGGAGAAATGTGAAAATACTGATTATTTTTTCTTGCCAGATGACTTGTTCAAAACACAGAAGTGAAATAAGTTGCAAAAATATTCTCCATATAAAGAAAGTTTATTTTGAAGAAATTAAGAAAGTTAATCTTAGTTTACGACTGCTTTTGTTCTTTTCAGCAAATAACATTTAAATACTTCACACAAAAGGGAAGCCTAAGGATGTTTCATCGTAAAGTAGCTGATGCTGTGGGGTAACACAGTTCCTTGAGACATCAGAGTCCTTAGTCCAGCCTCTGCTGAATTCAGTGCATGGGCAGAAATTTTGGCTTTTCCATTGTATGGCTGAACTCCTGTGATGTGAGGATTCCCTCTCTACTCGACACACAAGTTGACCATGCGAAGTGAAACATTTGTCAGGGTAAGGATCAAAGCACACATCATCTGGTGGAAGGCTGAGGGCACCCTTGGAAGGCAGAAGGATTGAGATGTGCTTGAGCCAAGGCATCTCATGGCATTTATTTGGAAAGAGGAGACAGTCCTCAAGTAGTTGGATGAACTTAGTCTTTTATTTCCTTGGCTTCCATTGCAGAACCCCAAAACATTTTGAAAT